TGCACTCTAAGGACTTTCATGGTCCCAAGTTCCCATCTCAGACTTTTTGAACCCAAAGTGACTTTGCTAAAGGCCACCATTCCCTGCAGGGCAGAAGAACCCCACAASGTCCAGGGCACTGAGGGTCCCCAAACCAGACTGTGTCTTGTTTTTTATGAGAGTAGATCTKCTGCTGCTGAAGGTATAAAGAGAAAGAAAGAACATAAGATGGCATTAGGCAGGCAAAACAGAACCTTAATTTCTTTTCCTCTCTTGCAGAAGATGTAGATGTCAGCCAGTGCAGAATTGCCCATTTTAAGGCTGGGAACATGATCCTAGAGGAACCAGCAAAAMTGATTGCTTTCTACGCTGTCCTGGAAAATCCCAACTTCTCAATGCTTGGGGTGATTTGGYGAAAGTTACGTTCAACCCTAAGTTCCCTCCCSATGCACTCCTTGGTGATGATCTTCCAGCAGCTCACTGCTGCAAATACAACACTTCACCTCTACCTGATCCCAGATGACAACTCTGTGAAGCAGGTAAGATGGAGGAGATGGGCTTAGTTTACAAAAAGGATGGCAAATGGAGTGGCTGCACTGGCMAGGACYGGAGTTGGTAAGCGGGGATCCCTCCTAGCTTTGTTCTGGGATTCAGCACRGACTAATGTGCTCCAGGCATCGGGCAGTTGGAGGTAGAGCAAGGCCATGACAACAGGAATGCAGATCCTACCTGGTCAGGGTAGCGCAGCAGGGAAGAGATGGCCCTGCAGTGTCTGYCAGCAAGAGCATGGAAGAAGACAACATGCCAACCTCTGAGCAAGTTCGAAAGACCAAATGTTTTTCAGACAGTGCTTGGGTGATTCTGTTGCCTGTTTTTCTGGACAMGGGCTTAGGTAGCTGCATTGCTTCTTTCTGGACACCTCTCTGTTGCCTGCCCCTCCCCAAGCCCATGGTTCCATTCCAGCCAAGTTTGTCAGAGGGACGGAGGTCTCCCAAGAATGACCCTCCTCAGGAGAAGCCATTAATGCCACAGCAGGGAAGACAGGGAGATGTGTAACACTGATGTGCACTGTCTTCTTGAGAACTGTCAGACAGAAGGGACCAACCTTTCCTGCTTGGTCCTTCCTTTTATTCCACAGTCACCCCCTTTCCGTTTGGAACTTCTTGGCAAAGGGTAGCGTTGTTGTGTCTTTCCTTGGAATAACTTAAATGTAATCTTAACTCTGCTTGGGGATGGAGTTGGTGCGCTCCCGTATACAGGACTGCAAATCCCCCTGGCTTCCCTGACTCKCCTGCTAGAGCAGGGAGAACATAATCTGCAAGGGCAGCAAGCTGGCATGGAAGCTGGCCTTGTCTCTGTTGAGTGCTGTTAAAATTTCTGTGCTTCTCAAAGGTCACTGCTGGCCCAGGTTCATGACGCCCAAGAAAGAGTTACAWATCAGTTCCTTATTTCTACAGCTGAGAATGCCACCACACATTAATGCAGACAATCTCTTCTCCCTATGCACCASCGATCAGCTCCTACCTTGGGACACCATCCTTGCTCCTGCCTCCTCGGCCCCTCTCTCGTGCAGACCTCCAGCAATCACTCCTTGTGCCTTCAGCTGGAGCAATGTGTCCTGGCAAGAGCTGGGCTGTTGCACAGGTGGCTCCTCTGCATACGGAGCAGAGCAGCTTCAGGAACTGCTGGCTGCTGCCATGTGCAGCCGTAGGTGGCTGAGTAYCCCGTGTTCTCCCGTTTTGTGCAGGTCCTTACCCTGACTCACAGCGACCTTGAGTTACCTTGCATGTATTCCAGGTGAGGTCCTGGCAGTAGCTGGTGGGCAGAAGTGAGGGGGCTCCCCAMATGMAGCGTTGCCTCCAACACACATTYGCTGGCSATCTCGTAGGTCAGGCTCTTAATCCTCTCCATTTTCGAAGGGCAGTGAGAGCTCCGTACAATTCATAGCTCCTTTTTGTATCTCTCAAAAGCGATGCTTGACATTTACAGGCCATTGAAAGGCAAGAAATGAACTGGAACTCAAAGCTTATTCCCAAGCCTTCTCCCATCAATCCTCTGTTCTTTGGCTGCATTTACCAAGTCTCCAGTACGTCGCATGTGGAGATAACACCTGAAGTAAGTGAGATGATTGCTTCTTTTCTGCAGTGAAATCGCRAAATATCCAAGTCTCCACCTCCAGCTCTGCTACCAGAATCTGTCTTAATAGGTTTCAGAACCATAGGAGCAGTAAGCTACACCGATCACAAATGACAAAGATACTTCATGACAAACATGCCAATAAATAACATGAGATAGATGATGGAGTTCACCTCCAAAACTATGCTGGCAAAGCTATAAAGGTGCAGATGATTGTTTTTCTCTATGGCAGAACATAATCTGGGACTTGTCACAGCTATGGCTCATTATTAAGGAATTTCAGAGATACTGGCTCTGGGGTAGTCCTGGGTCCTGTCTGCAGTAGGTTTACTCCAGAACAAGAGCCAGTTTACAGAGACTCCTTTCATACCTTTGCTGCCATGAGGTGACATGACTTCTATGGGTTACTGTGAGGGAACTCAGCTTGAAGACTCTGTATCCTGTGGCAATCCGAGTAAAATGGCTGGAAAAAAAATTATTTGGCCTTTTAGTCATGCTGTTGCTTTTCTTTTTTTTTTTTTTTTTTGCACGGGAATTTGTGATTTCCTGGTGACAATCCAATGTTATGTCCATGGCTGGATACCAAAAACTTCTCCTTTCATGAATCTGTACTGCAGCATGATCATGATAAGAATCACTATGATTTAGGTTGGATGGGACCTCAGGAGGTCTCCAGGCCAAGATTTTGCTCAGCACATTCCAAATTTGACGTCAGATCTCGTTGCTCGAGGCCATGTCCAGTCAAGGCTGAGGATTGCCAGGGATGGAGATTCCACAGTCTCTGGGTTTCTCTTCCAGTGCTGTATCACCCTGCTTGGTTTTTGCTTTGKTTTTTTTGCTTTATCTAATGGTGGGGGGAAATTTCTCTTGCTACAGTTTGTGCCTGTTGCCTCTTGTTTCCTCACTGTACATGTCCAAGAAGAGACTAGCTCCATCCTTTTAATCTCCCTCATGTAGTCAAAGGCAGTGATGAGGCCTCCCCTTTACTTTCTCTTCTCTGAGTTGAACAAGCCCAGTTCCCTCCACCTGCGCTTGSATATCATGCTCCTGCCCCGAGCTGACCTTGCTTCAGGATGTTCAGGTCTTTCTCATGCTGGGTACCCAAGCTGGGTAGCCCCTTGAACAAATGTAGTGTCACAAGTGCTGAAAAGAGGGCAGGGCTCCCTTTGCTCACTCTGCTGTGTCTGCTCTTGCTGACAAGGCCTAGGATGTGGTTGGCCACCTTTGCTGCCAGGGCACATTGCGGGATCTTGCTCAACTTGTTGTCCACCAGGACTGATCTGGCAGATTGTTTTGGATCCGTGCAGTGCCCAGGCTGCTCTGCTGCATGGGGTTATTGCATCCCAGATGTAGAGTCTCTGCATCTACTGTTGTCAAAGTGCACGAGCTTCCTGATGGCCCATTTCTGCATGGGCCTCAAAGGTCCTCTGAAGGGCACCCCTACACTCCTGTGTGTTGATCTCTCCCCAGGGTAACCATAACTTGTTACTGAGCAGCCCTCAACAGCCAAGCCCTTCTGCTTAATTGGGAGCCACACTTAAATCCGCAAATCACTAATTAGGAATTGGCCTTGCCGCTTTCTGTCATGACTAAATTGTACCTGGGCACTCTGTCTTGAAGAGCAACTATGAAGATGACAGAGCCAAACTCTTCTTGGCCGTGTCAGGTGGTTTAACAAGAGGCAAAGGCCATAAATTGGGAGGTTCAGACTGGACATTACAGACACGCAAAAAAATCACTAGGTGGTGACACGAGCAGCATCCCCTCAAACAGGTTAGAAGAGAGGTGTGAATCTCCATTCTTTGAGGTTTTCAATACACAGCTAGACAAAGCTACACCTGAGCAGATCTACAGCCAGCAATGATCCTAGTCTGAGCAGGAGGTCCGATTAGACGCTCGAGAGGCCCTTTCCAACCAGCACCCCTCATACTGGCAGCACAGCAGAGCCTTTACTTTTATATCACCACTTGTTTTTCCCCTCCCTGGCATGGCCAGTAAACCCAGGATAATTTATGTGAGTTCACTGCAGCTCCATGGGATGAGAGACTCCTCTTGCTTCTTTCCAGCCCCACTTGCCATTCTGCTACAAGAGTCCCGAGGAACAGCAGCTCTTCATTGAGATCTACATCAGGAACATGGCAGAGGAGATCTGGCTCCTTATGAAGGACATACACAGGGACACCCTGGTCTGGAAGGCGTCACTGAGGTCAGGTAGGATCGGCACGTCCATGGGCAAGAAGGGGATGGAGCAGTGAGCTGTGCTTCTTGTGAGGGCAGACTGAGATGTGCAAATACTCTGATTCACAGTATCACAGAATGTTCAAGGTTGGAAGGGACCTCTAGAGATCATCTAGTCCAACCTTCCTGCTCAAGCAGGCACACCTACAGCATGTGGCACAGGGCGGCATCCAGGCGGGTTTTGGAGACCTCCAGAGAAGGAGACTCCACAACCTCCCTGGGCAGCCTGTGCCACTGCTCTGTCACCCTAACAGTAAAGAAGTTCCTCCTCACCTGGAGATGGAACCTCCTGGGTTTCAGCATATGCCCATTTCCCCTTGTCCTATCGCTGGCCACCAATGAAAACAGCCTGTCCCCTTCTTCCCTACATTCTCCCTTCATGAACTTATACATGTTGATCAGATCCCCTCTGAGCCTTCTCTTCTCCAAGCTGAACAGGCCCAAYTCACTCAGTCTCTCCTCATACGAGAGATGCTCCATTCCCTTAATCATCTTTCTTGCTCTCCACTGGAAACCACCAGAATACCAAGATTTCAGTGAAAAGAAAAAAAAAAAAAAGATCATCTTTAAACATATATATTTCACACACTGCACTCATGTACTTTCCTACATTTGGTGGGTGCAACACCAGTGTTTGAAACACCACGAGAGTCCAGAGGAACACTGGGGTGAGGCCCAGTTTCCCTCAAGGAAGGCAGGCAGCCACACCAGGTGGAGACAGACCTCAGAGGGCTTCTCCAGAGGCCGTCTCATGGGATTGCATTTGCTGATGACCGCTGAAGGGAGGTGKGCGGGATGCCTCCCTGAGGAGAGCGTTTCGAGCAGACGGGGTGGACTGCAGCTGAAGCGGAGCGTCACGCAGCAAGCGCGTTCGCGTGGGCGCTGCTCTCTGGGGGCACCTGCTCACCCTGCGTTTGTCCCCTCCGCAGGTGACTGTGCTGACGTGGAGAGCGTGCAGCATCTCGTTCCAGGTCAGTGCGCGATGCAGACGCCGGTGACGCGGTTAGAGTGTGCCAGGAGTGGTGTTTGYGTGCAGGAGGACACAGCAAAAGCGCCTCAAGAAATGGGGCTGCTCAGGATCCATGCTCCTGTGGGCTAACCTGCTGCCAGAAATAACACTTGCAAATGCACAGAATCCAGGATCTTTTAGTGCTGGTTTCTCCAAATGTGGCCAGAGAATATCCGTTGATAGAAAATAATTGCTAATGGTTTAGTGGAAAATTAAGGAAAATTAGGAAAATTAAGCACTGAAAAAAAAATACGTATTTTAGCAAGTGTCTCCACCCCTGCAGTGACGTATCTCTCTTTCAGATCCCACCTGCCCTCCTKCCTCTGCCTCCTCGGGCTTTTCAGGTTAGTACCGTGGTGCAGAGCTGTGGTCCTGGAGCCTGGCTCCGTGTCCCGCAGCTGACAGCAGATCCAGCCTCTCCCCACTGCGCTCGGAGCATCCCCGCTGCCCCGTAACCCCCAATCCTGCTGTGGGGCAGGACGGGGACACGCGGCCCTGGGACAGGGGAAGCAACCCCAACCTAGACTGGCCTAGGATGCCGCGACCCGGCGGTGCTGCGCTGCCCTGGGGCCCTCTTGCCATACCCAGCACAGTAACACAGGCTTGGYCTCCATCAGGTGCAGCCTTCATAAAGAAGCACAAGAAGGAGCTTTGCAGTCGCATGGGGAGGATCTCCCCGATCCTGCTGCACTTGCAAACCGCCAACATTATCAACAGCGACGAAGAAGAAGAGGTGCTAAGCCAAAAGACACGTCAAAAGAAGAACAGAGTTTTGCTGGAGCTCRTTGAGAGAAAAGGTTGCAAGGCCCAAGAGCAGCTCTACAGGATTCTCCGGGAAAAGGACAAGTTCCTCATCAGTGACTTAGAGGAGTCTAGCTAGGCGCAACAGGCAGCTTCTGCTCCCACACTGCAGCCCTAGGACAGTCGRGGAAAAGCGGGGCTCTGTCACTGCCCACATCTCAACTGCTGAAGCCAACGCYGCGGGTGCAAGGTCTCATCAAGGCCTGCTGCACTGCCTGGTCTCTTGCAGCAAGGGAGGGTCCCGGTCACGCTGCCCCTCCGCTGGGAGGCAGCTGGAAGGAGCCGGAGAAGACGCCCTGGTTCCCCAGCCAGCAACACCCCCACACACCCTGCGGCCTCCCTGGTATCGCAGGGGCCTCGCAGAGGGGACGGGCTCCATCCTGGGGAGAAGCCTCCCCTCCTGTCCAAGGAGGAGCTTCACCTGCACCCGCGTGGCGCCCTCACGCTCTGCAGGGAGCGCTCCTTGCTGGGGGCCGCGGGCTGCGCCGCCCCACCGGCCGGACCCCTGCCAGCCTCGCCTTCCCAGGCGCCCCAAACACCCCGRACCTGCAAACACAGAAGCCACCAAAAGCAGCAGAAAGGGGCGATGCCCTCGCACACTCAGGGAACAGCCGGCAGCGCCTGCAGCGGCGCCGCGTCCCGAAGCCCCGCGGCAGATGATGCACGACTGTGCTCTCCGTGGGAAAGCAGAGCCACGAATGAACCTTTCTCTTCATTTTTTTTTGTTAATATTTTTAAGCAACAAACAAATGCAAGCAGATAAAAACAAAATAAGCATAAATAAACAAATAAATATAAAAAAGCAGTGACGCTCCCTCCGGGTTTCGCTGCAAACCGCCTGGCCGCAGCTCGCGGCGGCCGCTCCGCCCTCCCGCTCGGCTCCTACGGGACCCGCGCAAACCACGCGCGACCCAGCCCCGCGCGCCGCCACTGCGCGGGCGCAGCGCTGCGGCGGGGCGGGAGCGCGGGGCGGGGCGGGGCCTCGCGGGGAGGAGAGCGTCCATTGGCTACTCGCCGCTCGGTGATTGGTGCTCCGCCGGGGGGCGGGGCTGGAGGGCTCCCCTCTCGCGGGAGCTGGCGGCAGCGCGCGAAATTCCTGTAACGGCGGCGGCGGGATGGGGCTGCGGGGCGGCGACCCGGAGGGCGCGCGGTGAGTGACCGGACCGGACCGGACCGGACCGGACCCGACCCGACCCGACCCGACCCGACCCGACCCGGCGGGACGGGGCCGGCCCGGGCGGGCGGCGGCGGCTGACGCGCGCTGCCCCGCAGGGACGATGGCTCCTCGCTGTCCGCCCTCAAGCGCCTGGAGCGCTCGCAGCGCACGGACCGCCTGGACGCGCTCTTCGGCTTCGAGCGGCCCGCCGAGCCCGGCGAGCGCACGGGCTGGCTCCTCAACATGCACCCGGTAGGACGGCGCGGGCGGCGGGGAGCGCCCGTGGGAGCTGCGGGCCCGGTGGCACCGGGACGCGGCGGGGCGGGGGACTGACACCCACCCGCTGGGAGCGGCGCCCGGGGCGGCCCCCGACACGCGGGGAGCGCGGCGGGATTGCGGGGTCACTGCCGGGCGCCCGGTGCGCCTGGCCTGAGCGGGGTCGCTGCTCCCGTGCACCCGGTAGGACCGGGCCGGGGGCGGGGGGGTCCATCCTACGAGGCTGTTTGCACGGGCAGACCGAGGTGCTGGACGAGGACCGGCGGCTGGTGAGCGCCGTGGACTACTACTTCATCCAGGAGGACGGGAGCCGCTTCAAGGTGCGTGGGGTTCCCGCGGCGCCACCCCCAGCAGCGTCACCCTGTGCCCTGGCTCCCCGCGGGGCTCCCGGCCGCTCACCGCCCCCGGCTCTGCTCTCTCCTAGGTGGCCCTGCCCTACAAGCCCTACTTCTACGTCGCCACCCAGAAGGCAAGTGTGGGCTTGGGAGCCGCGTGGGGTCTAGCGAGGGCACCAACGAGGCGGCTCTGAGGGGTCTTGAGAKCCTCTTGAGCTGGTGAGAGGAAAATACAGCTGTGTTGTGGCTGTTGGTGGTCCTGGAAGAGCTGCTGGAGAAGACCACGATGGGGAATGAGCTGTCTCTATACCCTGACTCCATCAAAGTTTCTAGAGGGGGGTCGGTTCACTACATGTTGAGTTCTCCCTTCAAGGGTCCGTCACATTTTTTTTTCTGTTCCTTTTTTGTCCCATTTCGCTCCCCCTAAATCCCAGCAGGGGTAAATGTCCTCTTTGTCTTCTCCTCTGGTAAAGCGGCTGGCTGTGTTGCTCATTCTCCCATTTCCTTGCAGGGCTGTGAGCGAGAAGTGTCCTCCTTCCTCTCCAAGAAGTTCCAAGGAAAAATTTCAAAGCTGGAGACCATCCCCAAAGAGGACTTGGATCTGGTCGGTGTTTTTCCGCCTGCTGTACTYTTGAATATTGATTCTGCCTCAAGGTGACACTGTGTTGTTGCTTTGTAGCCCAATCACTTGGTGGGGCTGAAGCGCAACTACATTAAGCTGTCGTTCAACACGGTGGATGACTTGGTGAAGGTGCGGAAAGAGATCTCTCCTGCTGTGAGGAAGAACAGAGAGCGAGACCAGGCAAACGATGTCTAYACATCAATGCTGTCGAGGTAAGAGGTCTCCTTATGGTGGTTGATCTGTCAGCTTCACAAGATTCCYTTATTCATGCAGACTGTTGCTGTGTTGTCTCCTACACTCAAGCCTGCTATGTCCAAGACGTGCACAAACCTACTTAGTTTCCTCTGCGGGTTGCAGTTGGTCCTCAACTGGTTTCCTCTGCCCCTCGCAGTGCTCTCGCCGGAGGCAGCCTGACCACAGATGATGAGGGACCCTCCAAAAAGGTTGCCAACCAAATGGACAACATTGTGGACATGCGGGAGTATGATGTCCCTTACCAYATTCGCCTGTCCATTGACCTGAAGATCCACGTGGTGAGTAAGGAATGGGGAAGCTAGGAGAAGCTTAGGACAATCTTTTTCTTACTATTGTGTTCTTGAAGGGCAGGCATGATGGAAACATTCTGTCTTTCCAGAACTCGTGATAAGGACTGTGTGATAATGAATTAATCTRTGCCATTATTCTGAATGAATAATGAATTAATCTATTCTGAGTGATAATGAATTAATCTATGCCATCTAGTCCATTACTGCAGGGCCTTTTTGCAGTTTCTGACACACAAAGAAGTTGGATGATCTGCTGTATATCCGCAGTTGGAGCCTTTCCTCAGAATTACAGTTAATTCACGAGGYTCTCTCCCCAGTACGTGAACGAAAGCAACCCCTAGCAACACGCCTCCCATTAATGCACTTGTTGCGATTCCCTCTCCCCGTGACAGGCTCACTGGTACAACGTGCGGTACCGGGGCAGCATCTACCCCCCTGAAATCACCCGCCGAGATGACCTTGTGGAGCGGCCGGTGAGTGTCTGTCAGGCAGGAGTCAGACTGTGCCTGCACGTGGCTAGCTCGTTTTTGGCTAGCAGCTGCCTCCCAGCAAAGCACAACGTTGATTTCCAGTAGGAGCTGGCGTTATATCACAGTGTTCATGAGCAAGTTTTGTTTGGGGACTTGGGTAGTGATGTTTTGCTTTGGACTGATAAGGCACCTTCTAAAATCATTACCAAGAAAGCTATGAAGTACTGTGCTAGCATTAAGCCTAGTGAGCCTAATGGGAAGCGCTCTTTAAATCATTCTCTCCAGCTGACCTGAGGTTAATGTGTTTGGTCATGCTCAGGATCCTGTTGTTCTTGCCTTTGACATTGAAACTACTAAACTGCCTTTGAAGTTTCCTGATGCAGAGACAGACCAGATCATGATGATCTCCTACATGATTGATGGGCAGGTAAGGGAACAGCARTTGATTTCTTCACGTTTCAAAGCGAAATACTAGGCGGCAAACCCGCACATCACCTTCATTCCAGGCTTCCTTTGCTGCCAGCTGCTTGGTCTACATGTAGCAGCTGTGAACATAACATGGAAGTCTTAATGATTCTTTAAAATGTCCTGGTTTTGCTTGCTGTGGAACTTGGCTAAGGCTGCTGTGACTGCTTCAAGACAGCAGTAGTAATTTGAAGAGCATAGTCCTAAGCTGTTTCCCTTTGGCCTCCTTAGTTTATTGTAGGACATTGTTCAGAAGTTCACTGGAAGGTGACTTCCAACTAGTTGTTTGCACCTGACAAAAGCTCTGACTGTCAAGCAGTGCAAGGGTTATCCCATCAATGGAAGAGCACTCCATTCTTCGGACAGTGTGTTCTGGGAACCTGTCCATGGTGTTGCAGCGTTGTGAGTACTCAGTAACATTATCTCTGTCAAATCCCTAGGGCTACCTGATCACAAACAGGGAGATCGTCTCCGAGGATATTGAAGACTTTGAATTTACTCCCAAGCCGGAGTATGAGGGTCCATTCTGTGTCTTTAACGAACCAGATGAGGTAAGAAGATTCTGCTGGAGAGATGAGGCTGCTGCTTATCTGCATTTGTCCTTTTTAGATCAAAGAAAGATTGTCACCCAAGAGCAATATTGGGTGAATGTCACCCATCACAGGGCAAGTGATGCTTACGTTTCATGGTGTARTGATAAGACAGATCAAGTCCTAGCTAGGTGCTAAGAGCAAATGGTAAAATTGTATTTCATCCAGTGATTCTCCATGAAGCAGGTGAAGTTGTTGAGTGTTATTTATCCTTCTGTTGTATCCTAGGCTCATTTAATCCAGAGGTGGTTTGAACATGTCCAGGAGACCAAACCTACCATCATTGTCACCTACAATGGAGAYTTTTTTGACTGGTAAGATCAGGAATGAAAATTAACCTGGTTTCCAAAGGGGAAATGTATCTGATTTTGCCCCATAGCCCAGATAACCACTTGCAGTGTCCTTTGTCTGGAGCTGACAGGGTGGCCATAAGTGCTCCTACCTGTGCTATCCATGCTGTTTGGGCAGCCGTTCACATCCTGAATTTCATGCCGTTCACCCAGGGTGCTAGGTTGAGTCTTGGACCCCRGGCTGTAGAGGGCTCTTGAAGATGGGGAGGGGGAACTCGGAACGGTTTCTGCGAGCAGAGCTGTGTTCATGTCCTGAGAACAAGAAAAGGGTCAAGGAGACCCCTGAAATAATAGAGCCTGGAGCAGCAACCCTTCAGAAAGCAAGGGAAGATGGATCAGAAATTCTTCCTCCTGGTACAGCATGGGAGCAACCTGCTTCACTGCTTCTTTCATGTAGTAGTTCTGTTCTACAGGGAGTTTTCACTGGGCAAATGTCACAGATAAGGTCTGGAGCAAAGGAGAGATCACAAGGAAAAAGTCTTCGTTAAGTAGTTCATAACGTAGCAATTCTCCACTCCTCACAGTGGTTTCGGGAAAGGGACTGGTTTTTTGCTTCTTTTCTGCATTGTTTTTCTCCCCAGGCCTTTTGTGGAAGCCAGAGCAGCAGCTCATGGCATTAATATGTATCAGGAGATCGGATTTCAGAAAGACAGTCAGGGGGAGTACAAAGCACCGCAGAGTATCCACATGGATTGCCTGAGGTACCTAATGCTACCACTGTACTGTGTTACTGCATCTTTATCCATTAAATTTATATAAAAAGCCCATAATTCAGTTTATATAAAAATGCTGTTTGTGCAGTCTGCTGGTGGCTGTTCTTGGGGATTGGGAACTGTCCTGGACAGCAGATAAAAGGACAGAAAAARATCAAGCTATTGTAGTGAAAATGGGATCATCCTGTAACCCAACAGCCTGCCTAGTACGGAGAGAAAAAGAAAGGGCCCCTACCCGAGCGTGTGCAYGAGAGGGCTGTGACTGGGATGTTAATGTTCTTCTCGTTGGAGCAGTGTCCAGATTCAGAAAAACAGCTGGCTGTCTTTGCGGTCCTGCTGACTTCTCCTCTGTTTAAATGTTTAAGTCTTTGAAGTATGCGGGTTGAGATAAGTCTGAGCAATTGAAAGGATTTAGCAGAGTTTGTAATACCAGAGTTTGAGATATGCAGAATGTCTAAAGCTGTGTAGCCTCCTCCTCCACAGTACTTGATGTTCTGCTCTCATTTTTCCTGTTTTAGCAATCAAAAATCCTTTCTGAGTGCCTCAGCCCTTTCCAAAGTGCAGGGCTGTTTCTCCACAGACTGACATCTTCTTTCTTCTGCCTAGGTGGGTGAAGAGAGATAGTTACCTCCCAGTGGGCAGTCACAACCTGAAAGCAGCAGCAAAAGCAAAGCTGGGGTATGACCCAGTGGAGCTGGACCCTGAAGAGATGTGCCGGATGGCTACAGAGGAGCCTCAGGTATTCCCAGCCCGTGCTGCGTCTCCAGAAATCTGCTGTATTGCTGAATCTTTGAGTTGGAGCTTTATGAAATACTTCTGCTTAGTGCAGCGGTCTTGGTGCAGGGAAGCTGAGTCACTGCATATTCCTGAATTTCAGATGCCTTAAACTAAAAATGAATGAAAGGTTGTTATCATTGACCTACTGTGGTATTAAATATAACTGGAATTARTATTTCTCTCTCCTCAGACTCTGGCCACCTATTCAGTGTCTGATGCAGTTGCTACCTACTACATGTATATGAAGTACGTGCACCCTTTCATTTTTGCCTTGTGCACCATCATTCCCATGGAGCCTGATGAGGTGAGTGCTTCCCTGAAACGCTCTATTTTYTGGGCAAAGAGCTGCTTCCTCCATGCAGCAGCAATACCCTGGCAATAGAGCTGATTCCTACCTCCTGGTACCTTTTTGTCAGGTAAGGAGAGAAGGAGGAGTTTCCAAATAAACTTTCTCTTCACAGTACAGCAGCCGTGGCTGCTGTTCCATTATGGACAGCTTAAGTGAAGGAGATGGTTGTGTTTTCTTACTGTGCTCCCCGCTGCCTGGGGCTGCAATATTGCCTCATTGACACATCATGTTGGACACCAGTTCAAACAGTTTCAGGGATATGCTGATAAGACCAGCCTAGCTCCAGCAGTACAGTCCCTGTACAGCACTTCTTTCTAATTCCAGTTATTGATATCTGTCTCTTACAGGTGTTAAGAAAAGGTTCTGGGACCCTGTGTGAGGCACTGCTGATGGTTCAGGCCTATCACGCCAACATCATCTTCCCCAACAAGCAGGAGCAGGAGTTCAACAAACTTACAGATGACGGCCACGTGCTGGACTCGGARACATACGTAGGAGGCCACGTAGAAGCTCTGGAATCGGGGGTTTTTCGCAGTGACATCCCCTGCCGCTTCAAAATGGTAATGGTGCACGACCAGGGTGTTGCAATGGAGACTTGGAAATGGTAGGGCAATGATCCTCTTTCTCATGTCTCTGGAACCCACAACAGTGGGGAATAATCCTCTACCAGAATCAACATCCTGTGTTAAGGGTTAGGGAGAACTGCTCTCTATCCATACTGAGAAATGCTCCAAGTAGTGCGCCTGTGTTCAGATATTCCTGCAGTTACACTAGAACCTGGATAATCTAGTAGCATCTGTCACCCACCCCCTTCTCTGGGCAGTGTGCGAGGATGGGCGTTGGAGTTAGCCCAGGTCTAACTGGCCAGTTATTCCCATTATCCCTGCAGAATCCTGCTGCCTTTGACTTCCTGGTGCAGCACGTGGAGAAGACGCTCCGGCACGCCATCGAAGAGGAAGAACGTTTGCCACTGGATCAAGTCACCAACTTCCAGGAGGTACATTGTCCTGCGCCAGCCTGCGGGCCAGGGCATGACGGGGTGTCCCAGGGGGAGCTGAACCCTCAGGACGCACTCACAGTACGTTTCTTCAGGCAAGGCTGTGTCCTGTGCACAAGTATTGGGGTTGCATAATGGCTTTCTTCAGCTCTGAGTTGAGCTACRTGGACATCTCTGCCTTATTCCCCACGTTAATAAGGAGCTGGCAGAGGCTAGAGGCCAAATACAGCATGTATTTTATTGCATCGTTAATTCCTTTCTTTTTGAATGTTACTTTTTTACATTTCGCCACAGGTTTGTGATGAGATCAAAAAGAAGCTGAATTCTTTGAAGGATGTTCCTAACCGAATCGAGTGTCCGCTTATCTACCATTTAGATGTGGGGGCCATGTACCCCAACATCATTCTGACCAACAGGTTGCAGGTGGGTAACACCAGTGCAGTCAGGAATGTGCCTCCTGTTTTGACTTGCAGATGATCTAGGTTGTTCCTCTGATTTGATCTTCTTAACATCAAGGAGTGAATTTTCTCCTGGGCTCTGGGTAGGGGGATAAAATAAAGCTGGATTTAAAAGCCAGGCAGGCTGCCCCAGTASCCAAGTGTGCGGAAAGGTCTGTCCAGGATAGAGCAATAGCTTTAGTTGGTCTCTTCCAGAGAAGAGTGGTTTTAATTTGTGTTCCCAAAAGCTTCCAGAAAGGAAAGACTATGGAACATGACCTCTGTGATGTTCACGTTTGTGCYCTTCTGCAACCCAGCACCTGATCATTCTGGTCTATGTCGCTGTTTGGAAGTAGAGATGTTTCCTCTAACAAAAGTGTGTTGTGTCTTCGACGTGTATCCAGCCCTCAGCGATGGTGGATGAGGCCACATGTGCTGCCTGCGACTTCAACAAGCCAGGTGCCAATTGTCAGCGCCGGATGACTTGGCAGTGGAGAGGAGAATTCAGTAAGTGCAGATCTCTCTGCTTTCAAGTTTCCCATTGCACTGCAGCACGGATGGGCCTTGTAGTTGGAGCTGGAGGTGGAGACSTCTTGCTGTTCCTCCTCGGAAAGCCCATAGTTGTCCCTCCTTTGCAGTGCCTGCCAGCCGCAGTGAGTATCACCGCATCCAGCAGCAACTGGAGTCTGAGAAGTTTCCTCCCCTGTATCCGGATGGAGCACCCCGGGCATTCCACGAGCTTTCCCGTGAAGAGCAGGCCAAATATGAGAAGAAGCGACTGGCAGGTGAAAATACATGGCATTAGCTGGAGCTGTTTTTTCACTAGGCTATGAACACACCATTAATTAATTCTCAGATTTGGGGCTGCTTAGTTCCTGCTGGCTCAGACTAAATCTGAGCTCAGCTCTGTGCCCACTCTGTTCATCCTCCCCATCCATAGCGGRCACTGGTCTCTGAGCAACGTCCCTCTGTTTCTGCCCATAACTAGACTATTGCCGCAAGGCTTACAAGAAGATCCATGTCACCAAGGTGGAGGAGCGTGTCACCACCATCTGCCAGCGCGAGAACTCCTTCTATGTAGACACCGTGAGAGCTTTCAGAGACCGTCGCTATGAGTTCAAGGGGCTGCATAAGGTGCTGGGCTTGAATTTCTCTTTTATTTGTCTTGCCAGAACTAGGAGGTTCTCTCCTCTCACTGAAAACTTGAACCCCAAAGCATCATTTTGCTGAGTCTAYATATTCAGTGAGAAGTAAAGTATTTCCTGACAGCTCTGGTGCAAGTGCAGGTTTTTCATTGCYGAATCTTGCTCAAACAGCTGCAGCCACAGGGGTTGCTAGCTCCATGAGGCAATCGCTCCCAGTGGTGGGAAAGAAAATAGTCATATTTGGCTTCTACTAGATTTAGAAAATCCCCTACTCAACTATCTTATGTCCTGCCACAATACTCATCTGGCTCATGTTCAGTGTGGGACACATTTCAAACAAAGAAAATAAGACACGCAGAGAAACAAACTAGATCTCAGGTTAAGAAATGATTGATTCTAGGAGAAGGAAGAAGAAACATATTCTAATGCTCAAATGTTTGGAGTCTTGTGGCAGAGGGAGGAAATTGAAACGTGTCAGGATGGCAATGTCACATTAGGATTGAGGCAGGGGGAATACCTATACCTGGATATTAATACTGCCTGTAGGGAAATATAGGGCAGTCCTGACTGCCTCTTGCTGTCAGGTGTGGAAGAAGAAGCTGGCTGCAGCCGTGGAGACGGGAGATGCCTCTGAAGTGAAGCGCTGCAAGAACATGGAGATCCTCTACGACTCYCTGCAGCTGGCACACAAGTGTATCCTCAACTCTTTCTACGGCTACGTCATGCGCAAAGGGTGAGTCTCGCCTGCGGTCATTGCTGGAGTCCTCTAGAAAGCAGCCTTGTAAAATGGAAGTGTTCTAGTGAAGCTCTCGCCTTCTGAAGCACAAGAGGTGATYCCTGTAACGCTCTTCTATGGCTTCTACTAATGAGTCTTTTGCCATGATGCTTTCTTTTCTGGATGTCCTTACACCCTTCCTCACAGCTGTGTTTGAGTAGTAGCACCGCAGGCTCTTACCCTTCACTCCTCTGTCCGCAGAGCTCGCTGGTACTCCATGGAGATGGCTGGGATCGTCTGCTTCACTGGAGCCAATATCATCACGCAGGCCAGGGAGCTCATTGAGCAGATCGGGTGAGTACGTGCTGAGCTGGGGAAGGAAGGGTCTCCTGCACCCGGATGCGTAAGGGCAGAATTTGACTGGCGGAGGAGAGGACCCGTAGGACAGATGTAGAACATTGATCACTCAGAGCTCTGGGCTTAAAGCTGGAGTTTCAAATTTCTGACCTTGCTGTAGTTTATTAATACAGCTGCTGCTGTATTAAGAGGGTTTTTGTTAGTATGTTTGGTTTTGCAGAATGGGCGCTGCCTCTGCCTGACTGGGGACAGRGCTTTTCTTTGGAGTATTTTTCAGTCTCTTCCCGAGAGTCACTCTCTGCTTCTTTTCTTAGGAGACCTCTGGAACTGGATACAGATGGGATTTGGTGTGTCCTTCCTAACAGCTTCCCAGAAAACTTTGTCATCAAGTCAACCAACTCAAAGAAGCCCAAGGTGACAATCTCCTATCCAGGTGCCATGCTGAACATCCTCGTGAAGGTGAGTCTGGCACCTGTACAGGCCGGCTCTACAGTTTGGTAAAAAAGGAGCAGTAAGGGAAGTGTTGTGCCCTTCAATAGACCTGCAAGCCAGGGGGGCAGTTCTTGAGAGTGGTGTAACTCACAGGTACCCATCAGTGGAGTGGCAGTGGAGTACCCATCTCTGCGCTGGCAGCAGCTTTCAGCCAGGAGGATGGCCYCTTTTCTGTCTCTGGTCCCTTGTGTAATGAGCAGGATGTTGGGGCCTTGGAGTCCTGCCTGCTGAATTGTTCYGTAGCTTTCCAGAGTTGCTCGTTCCCAAGAAATCAGGTCGTTTTATCCTAACTCAGCAGAGATAGAGAACCTATTCTAGAGAATAACTTGTTCCATCAGGAGAGCAGGGACTGATCCTTCCCATCATCCAGGTGGGACAGAGGTCCTCAGTGATACAGAGTGTGTCTGGGGGAATTATCTCCTGATAGRATCGGCCCGGCTGTTAAGTGAAGCTGTTCTCTTGGGGCTGTGCCTGCAGGAAGGCTTCACAAACGATCAGTACCAGGAGCTGGAGGACCCAGCCTCTCTCACCTATGTCACACGCTCGGAGAACAGCATCTTCTTTGAAGTGGATGGGCCCTATCTGGCTATGATTCTCCCGGCTTCCAAGGAGGAGGGCAAGAAGCTGAAAAAAAGGTGAGAGTTCTAAATTTGAAATATTCTCACTGTGTGTTTCACCTCTTGTCTTTAAATTCCCCAGTCCTTGTCAGTCCATCTCAGAAGTTCACAGACCTATAGAAGTACTTCCCTAGAGGTTTCCACTTTAATCTCCTCCTGGGAGGAGGACTGCCCACACACCTCCAAACAGGCAAAGTTTCCTTCTCTTCCTAATATTTCACTCCATGTCTCTGCTCTAACCCTGTGTCTCACTTGCTGGCCCTTATTCATGCACATTTAACAACATTCTGCCATTGGTATTGGCAACTGGAGGCACAAGAGCTTTTGGAGTTGGAGTTGATAATGTTATGGCCCCTAGCAGTGTGAAGATCCCTAGGTCATGCTCGTACAGAGCACCACGGTTAAGGATAACTTACCTGATGGCTGCCACGTTTGGCAATACCAGCAGCACCCTGGTAGGAGGGCAGCGAGCAGCATCTGGGCGACGTTCTCCGTGGCACGGGCTGGGTTAGCACTAGCCCTATCTCCTAGGTACGCAGTCTTCAACGAAGACGGGTCCTTGGCCGAACTGAAGGGGTTCGAGGTGAAGCGCCGCGGGGAGCTGCAGCTGGTGAAGATATTCCAGTCTTCTGTATTTGAGGCCTTTCTGAAGGGCACCACCCTGGAGGAGGTCTATGCCTCCGTAGCCAAGGTGGCTGATTACTGGTTGGATGTGCTGTACAGCAAGGTGAGTGAAGACTTGGCAGGATATGCCTGGAAATGTCAAAGCTAGGCTAATGCTGTTGGATTTCGTCCGCAAAGAGCGGTTGGTCCATTGTGCCTCTGGCTGTTTCCATCTAACTTCAGCCTGTTTAATTCTCAAGGACTGCYATTTTAAGGCTTTTAGCACAAGGACTCTTCCCGTGGCCTGTTTTACAGCACTTTTTTCAACTGGTACTGCTTAACTGAGCCTGAGCATCATCCTGCAGCCCCTCTTTTATAGAGGTAATGTGATGGCTCTCCTCCTCCAAGGACGTTCTCTAAAGCCATTCACTGAGGCAGATGATGGCGGAGTCACTTGCCTGCAGAGCGTTTTCTGAGGAGCCCAGAGAGATCGGCTTTAAACTGACTGGCAAGAGCAGACACATCGCCAGAAAACAGAGCCTCAGCAGCTGGGGAGYGGGAGACACCAAGAGCAGGAAACCCTGCCCTGCCCGGCAGTTCCTTGGAAGCACTTCCATGTTGAGACACCCTGTTGTGCAGCTGGTGCTGCAGTGTTGGGCTCACCACGAGTTTGCAAAGCGTTGCATGCACAGCCCCAACTCTCACAYAGGCCTCATGTCTGCAGTCTCTCTATTCCATGGGTCATGTTGGCAACTGGAATGGAGACTTGTTCACAAACCCTTCTGAAGGGCAGCTGTATGAGTTGGCTTAGATGTTCCCTGTATATGATAGTGAAGAGGTTGGATTATTAGGTGTCTGATAATGTTTTAGTGTTTTGGGGTTTTTTTTCCACTCTCCTTTCTCTCAGGCTGCCAACATGCCTGATTCAGAGCTGTTTGAGCTGATCTCGGAGAACCGGTCCATGTCTCGCAAGCTGGAGGACTATGGGGAGCAGAAGTCCACGTCCATCAGCACTGCCAAGCGCCTGGCAGAGTTCTTGGGGGACCAGATGGTGAAGGACGCAGGGCTAAGCTGCCGGTTCATCATTTCTAAGAAACCCGAAGGGTCTCCAGTCACGGAGAGGTAAATCTGCYTTGAGGGGCCGGGACTCTGGGCAGGGTGTGAAGGGAACAGATGGGTGAACTGATGTGGCATAACCAAGTGACGGCCTGTGTAGTGGCTCACATTGTAAAATGAGACTGTAGTGATGAGAAACACTGTGTGTAGTTTGTGTGCAGTTCTGGACCMCCAGTATAAGAGGGACATGGAGCTTCTGGAAGAGGGTTCAGTGGAAAGCTACAAAGATGATTAAGATTAAGGGGCTTGGAACATCTCTCATATGAGGAGAGACTGAGTGAACTGGGCCTGTTTTCTCTGGAGAAGAGAAGGCTGAGAGGGGATCTGATCAACATGTATAAGTTCAGGAAGGGAGAATGTAGGGAAGAAGGGGACAAGCTGTTTTCATTGGTGGCTAGCAATAGGACAAGGGGAAATGGGTGTAAGTTGAAACACAGGAAGTTCCATCTCCATGTGAGGAAGAACTTCTTTACTGTTAGGGTGACAGAGCMSTGGYMCAGGCTGCCCAGGGAGGTTGTGGAGTCTCCTTCTCTGGAGGTCTTCAAAACCCGCCTGGATGCCGCCCTGTGCCACATGCTCTAGGTGTGCCTGCTTGAGCGGGAAGGTTGGACTAGATGATCTSTAGAGRYCCCTYCCAACCTTGAAGATTCTGTGATTCTGYGAAACGCTGTGCAGGTGCCTGCTGTTTGCTGGCATAGCACAAGGGTGAGAGGAGAAGCCCGGGGAGGTGTCTGCAGGCCGCGCACATGGGGCTCTGTGCTGCTGGGGAACTGTTTGGTGCCTCCCTCTCCCTCCAGGGCCATCCCGCTGGCCATCTTCCAGGCGGAGCCCAGCGTGCGGAAGCACTACCTGCGGAAATGGCTGAAGAGCCCCTCGCTGCAGGACTTCGGCATCCGGGCGGTGAGCTGCAGCCCTGGGGGCAGCCCGGCCGGGGCCCCCCGCCACCAGCCCGCGGCTCCCCCCTGCACTGGAGTCCCTGGGGAAGCAGCTCCCCGCAGAGCCCGGAGCGGCCCCTTTCTGCTCCCTTTTCCTCACTACCTGCTGCTCTTCTGCCTCTTGCAGATTCTGGACTGGGACTACTACATTGAGAGACTGGGCAGCACCATCCAGAAGATCATCACTATTCCTGCAGCCCTGCAGCAGGTAGGGGACGAGGTGGGGCAGGAGGGCTGCGGGTTTGTGGAGGTGCGTTGGGGACATTTGGGGTGATTTCACAATTTTCTCCAGGTAAAGAACCCAGTCCCACGAGTCCGGCACCCCGACTGGCTGCACAAGAAGCTCCTGGAGAAGAATGATGTGTACAAGCAAAAGAAAATCAACGAGCTCTTCACTTCAGAAGGCAAGAGACAGGTAATAAGAGTGAGAAAAAGGAGCTGGCAGACACGGACATCTCTTCCTGGAGCTGTGGCTTCAGCCCCCAATCCTCCTGCTGTCATTTCTCTCAGGTCCTTGCTAACCAGCCCCAACAGGGACCATCCAGCTCGCAGGTTGGTGACATAGAGGATTTGGGGACTGCCAAGCGCCCTCAGCCGCTGGTCGCGGTCGCGCACAAGCGGAAGCGTGTCCCGGCGGCCGAGGAAAGCCAGCAGATGTCCCAGTACCTGGAACTGTCCCAGTCCTGGCGAGAGATCCTGGGCCCGCCTCCTGCTATGGGCACTACTAAGGTAAGGGAAGCAGGCTGGTCAGGAGCAAGCAGGAAACATCTCAGCAGTGTCATCGTCTGCCCAGACAGATGGGTATAGGGCAGAGCAAGCTGTGGGTCTGCTGAAACCCTCTGCAATTCCATGGCTCAGGGCTACAAAGGGAGATATTACTGGGAGAGTGCCACTAATGGAGAAAACTGGTCCCATTAGCAGCTTCTCAGCTCTGACAGCAGCTGAGAGGTGGAAGGGCTTTCCCTTATGGTGCTTGTCTCTCGCGTATGGGAAACGTGTGCTGATATCTGTGGCTCCTGCTCACGTCCTCGCTTGCTGGCTCTGCTCAGGAAGAGCTGCTGGTTTGGCTGCGCTACCACAAGAAGAAGTGGGAGCTGCAGGCCCGGCAGCGGCAGGAGCGTCGGAAGAAGCGGCGCCTGGAGGACGGCGGGACRGTGACGTGCGGGGGTGTCATCCGGGACACCCTCTCCAAAGGGCTGAGCAGCTACCTGCGCAGGACAGCACGCAGCATCCTGGACTTGCCCTGGCAGATCGTGCAGGTACCGCGCAGCGAGACGGCCTCGCTCTTCCTCTCCTCATCTGGCAGGACAGCTCGGGGCCCTAAGCCTCAGGTTTGCAGTATCTGTGGTCAACAACAGAACTTCAGGGGCAGCTAACCTCAATTCTTCTGGAGTTTTTACCTTCTGGGAGATCATGTGGGACTGCACAGCCTCAATGTCAGAGGYGCTTTACATGGAAATGAAGTCCTCAAATGATTATGTCTGATTGCAAATCCAGGGTGTCTATGTAGATCCTTTGTGGGACAAGCCTGGCTCAGGACCTTGAGCAGCAACGTGCATTGAATCCTAAAATTAATGCAAGCATGAAGAGTTTGAGTACTACAGTCCAAGCATTTTATTAAATCCATCTTATTGGTGGATTAAATCCATCTTGGTTGCCTCTACTATAGGAGACCCAGCCCCTGATGTCACTTCTCTTGTTTTCTGGAAAGATCTTGTGTTGTTGAGGGTCACTTGCAGCCTTTATGTGCATAACCTTGAGCTTGAGGTGGAACAGCTAATCCAGCATGTCTAATGTTTAAATCTGATGTCTAAATGGTTTAAGTGCCAGCTTGAATATGCTGGCTAACGTTAGCCCAAGACTGAGATGTGTTTGGACCCATACCAGGTCTTTCCTTCCATACCATACTCTTTCCTTYAGAAGCACAGTGCCAGGTACTACCTGGAGATTAGTCAGATTTAGCTGCCCTYGTGCTCTTTCCTCTGACAGGAGAACTTTCTCTGTGGTACTTGTAGGACAGTAGCAGAATGTGGTGATGCCAGAGCTGTAAGCAATGAATCTTTAGGTCCATGGCTGTCTTTGTCATCAATTATTCCTTATTTTAGGAACACTTGGAAGGTCCAAGAAGCTCTCCTTGGCCTTGTATGTAAGAGCTAAGTGTGGGTTGAACCTCTCCACCAAAGTTAACTTAAATTCCTCTCTCCTGCAGATTGCTGAGACCAGCCAGCCTGGCCTGTTCAGGCTGTGGGCAGTGATTGGAAGCGACCTGCACTGCATCAAGCTGAACATCCCAAGGGTGTTCTACGTCAATCAGCGTATTGCCAAAACAGAGGAGGGAGCCGTGTACAGGAAGGTAGGGGTCGTGTTTTCAGCCCCACTGCTCCTGCAAGAGGAAAAAGCTGGTTGGATTTATATAAGGTACTTTGGCTACTGCGAGCACGTACTATGGACGATCTGCTTCCCAGGGCCTTGCTGTCCAGCCCTGCTGACGCGCCTTAATCCAGTCCCTTGTCCCTCCTGCTGTTCCCGACCTGACCACAAAGCAGGTTGCCAGTTCCTGTAATTTGCAATATTAACAAAGCATAAATCCCCCTAACTGCCTTAGGAATGACCAGCGCTGGCAGCTGGATGCCCTCCGGGGTCCGCCTGTTTCTGGGAAYGTAGAGCTTGCTCAAGCTGCAATCCTTGCAGCCCTCCGAGAGCTCGTCCTGGAGCAAGGTGCCCTGCTAAGARTGTCCATCTCCTTGGCAGGTGAACAGGATCCTACCCCGCTCAAACTTAGTTTAYAATCTCTACGAATACTCGGTCCCCGAAGACATGTACCAAGAGCACATCAACGAGATCAACGCCGACCTGGCTGCTCCAGACATCGAGGGCGTGTACGAGACTCAGGTGAGCCTCCATCTGCCCGCTTTGCTTCCTCATTCTTGGAGAAGCACCACGCTGCAGCTGATGCTCTGTGTTCCCGTGGCACAGGAAGAGGCTCTGAAGCTCAAAATTCAACAGCATAGTAGGATATTAAAATGAAAGACCCTCTGCAGTAGCTTTCTCAGGAATGTGCCCGGGTTTCATATGAGCAGAGGTGCAGAATATCAACGGCTTGTTCAGTTTGTAACATATTTAGGCAACCAGATTCAGGTTTATTTCAAGTTAGGAAGCTCTGGGAAAAAATACACTTGAACAGGAAGAGTGTGCTTCATCTAAATCGAACCAGAACCATCCTCCTAGAAATTAAACTGCAAAGATATGGGAGTTCTTTAGCATAAAGATGGGGGGGAAAAAAAACAAAAATGCAGGATATTTTGTAGGCCAGGGTACCCCATCTTTAAAGTGCAAGTGTAAAAGCTCTGTCTTCCTGTAAGAATAGGATGTGACTTTTTTTAAAGCTCAGAAAGAGCAGTCCCAAACCTAGAAAATGTTTTACTTCTGTGGTACACATACAAAAGCAGGGAGATCAAGACCAAATTTACTGATGCTTCTACTACTAAAAGTGTGAAGCAAAGATGGGCAGCTGGCATGCTTTCTCTTATTTTATCTCCAAAGACAGAGATTTGTTAAGCAGCTCAAAACTTGGTGGCAGGGATATAAGAAGGTGTTCTAGTGTCAGGACTTTACCGGTATGGAAGCGGCAGAGTAAGCTGCAAGGTTTTAAGAGTGGGACTACATGTTAAAATAGAGAAATGAATTCATTGTGAAAATACACCACAGAATTAGAGATAGAAATTGYCCAAGTAGGAAAAGGTCAGTATTTCCACCAGGACAACTACCTGGTGGTTCACATGAAACCGTCGTGTGCAGCGTGTGCCAGACCCCTGGTTACTGAGGTCTGAGGTCGCCCAGTTATTGCTCAGGTCTCTGCCCTCCTATCTGAGCTTTTTTTCTGCTGCCTTTGGCTGTGGGTTATGGGGCTAGTGCCCCAAACTTGTTCTGATTCTTTTTTTCATACTACTTGTATTCTGTATGCCCTGAGTCTCAACCCCTGCAGGAGTGACCGTGCCGAATGTGTGCCTTAAGCATCTTGGCTGTACTCAACCTGTGTTTTAAGGCCAGGCTGTTCTAGGTCTGAAAGCACTCGGAGGAGTYTCTCAGAGGGTCACATCAGTGTCTCCACTGCTGTAGGTGCCGTTACTGTTCCGAGCACTGATCCACCTGGGTTGCGTGTGCATGGTGAGCAGGCACCTGGTGAGACACCTCACGGGGCGAGAGGCTGAGACTTTCGACATTGAGCACCTGGAGATGCGCTCGCTGGCTCAGTTCACTTACCTGGAGCCAGGTGAGGCACCCTAAGAGAAGCCCTGCCAATGTGCACGGGACCAAATACCTCCAAGATGCTACTGAGGCTGCGTGTTTGCTCTGTGTCCCTAGGAAGCATCCGCCACATCTACCTCTACCACAGCTCCCAGGGCAGCAGGGCGCTCTTCGGCCTCTTCATCCCCTCTCAGCGCAAAGCTGCAGTGTTTGTGCTGGACACGGTAAGAACAGAGCTTAAAGGTGTGGGAGGGACCATAAGGGAGCAATGTGGAGCTGAGAGGTTTCTTTGCACGGACAGAGAGATCTCTACTGCTCTGCAGCAGGGATGCTAGGAAGGGTCTGGTCTGTAGTGAGCAGGTCTGTTCGTTAGCTTGTGTGAAGCATGGTGGTGTGTRGAGGGAAGAGCTTCCTCGCATCTTGCAATGTGGGGCTCATCTCTCCCCATCCCTGTCCCTCCTGTGTGCGTCTGCATTTGGTCCAGGTGCGCAGCAATCAGATGCCAAACCTCACCAACATGTACTCGTCGGAGCGCAGCGCTCTGCTGGAAAAGGTGGGCGAAGAGCTGCTGCCTCCAGACAAGCACACCTTTGAAGTGCGCGCCGAGACCGACCTCAAGACRGTCTACAGGGCCGTCCAGCGACTGCTGCTGGGCTACAAGGTAGGAAGGTTCTCACTGAGACCTTGTCAGTGCAGAGGAGAAAATGACTGTGTGAAAGACTGGCCCAAAGTTCAAGGGTGAAAACGGATGTGGCCTGAGCTTGCATAGTACAATGCAAGCAGTAAGGGTAGATCGGACCYCCAGCTCTCAACTGTGGCGCTGGTAATTCAGCAGTAGTTGCTTCAAGAAGACCCGAGAGCTGTCCCTGCTGTGTAGGGCGCTGGGAAGCGGTGCAGGAACGGGTTGTGTCCGCTCATTCGCGCTGCTGGTTTCCTGCTGAGTGGCGATGCTGGCTGGAGGGAAGCCCCAGGACACGTTCTCCTTCGTGCAGGATGAGCGCCGGGGCCCCACACTTATCGCTGTGCAGTCCAACTGGGACCTGAAACGCCTGGCGAGCGGGATTCCCATCATCGAGGAGTTCCCCTTGGTCCCTGTCCGCGTCATAGACGACATCAGCTTTTCGGTGCTGGACTGGCAGCGCCATGCAGCCCGCCGCATGATCCGCCACTACCTCAACTTGGACACGTGCCTCTCTCAGGCTTTCGAGATGAGCAGGTGCTGGTGGTAGGGACGTGTCCGTAGGGACATGTTCCTGGTTGGGTGGGAAAGGGAAACGACAGGAGCCTGAGGCCGAGGTGAGCCCAGRTGCTGTCACCTTCTGTGCTTTTGTCCTTGTTGGGGCAAGCAAATATGCTGGCACAGCTCTCCTACTGATAGATTTGCCCATGATGACCGTCTCCCTTTCCTTCCCTCAGGTATTACCACATCCCCATTGGGAATCTCCCTGACGACATTTCCACTTTTGGCTCGGACCTGTTTTTCTCCCGCCACCTCCGTCGCCACAACCATTTGCTGTGGCTCTCGCCCACGGCCCGCCCCGACCTGGGCGGCAAGGAGGCTGATGACAACCGTCTAGTCATGGAGTTTGATGAGAGAGCCTCTGTGGAGATAAACAACCCTGGCTGCTACTCCACAGGTAGGATAGCCCTGAGTTGGAGCAGAGCCAATTGCTCTTCCATGAGCACCGGAGAAGGACGGATGCAGTGACAGAGTGTCTGAGCAGCTCTGTGCTGACTGCAGTTGCTGGCAGCTTCAGCAGTTGAGCAGCAATTTGGACAGGCTCGTGCATTGCTGTCTCCTGGGGAAGGAAGCTCCCGTAGCCTATAGACAATGTGTGGATGCAGCTAAATACTGATTCCTTCGCAGTTTGTGGCCTCTTGTAGCAGCACTCGGAAGAGTATTTGTGACACAAAGACAAAATGGCCCACTGGTAAAACTCAGACTATCACCCCTGGTGTCCCTAGGATGAATCTTTCTAAGCATCAAAGCAAGGTGACTGATAGTTCTTCTCAGCACCTCCACTGCAGTTTCCAGGAAAACCTAGTGGCCATTGGAAGGGTGGTAGATCCAGTTTTGTTGGAAGTCACGGTGCTGTTCGGCTGTGCAGTGAGTGCCGCCTCCGTCCATCACTAGCAGCGCTGCCAAACGGGATGAGATCTGTCCATGTGCAAAACGTGGCCTTTGAAGYGTGTGAAACAGGGTGTGTGGCAGCTGTGGGAGCTGCAGTTTCACAGTATAAATACCCGCCTATTTCCCAATGTCAATATCTTGATGTTGCACATCCAGTAGATGCCATAACTCTTATAAATAGCTCTTGCTAGGTGTGAAAAGTACTTCTGGCAAGTGGGGGCGTTCCTCATACCTGGAGAGGGGCTGATGTCCTTGCTGCCTGTCTGCCCTGCTTGCCTGTTGACTGGCTGTGTTTGTTCTCAGTGTGTCTGGAGCTGGATATCCAGAGCCTGGCTGTAAACACAGTGCTGCAGTCCCATCACATCAATGACATGGAAGGAGGTTCCAGCGTGAGCATCAGTTTTGATGTGATCCAGCAAGCCTCTCTAGAAGACATGGTGACAGGGAACCAAGCTGCCAACATCCCTGCCAGCTATGACGAGACTGCCCTCTGCTCTAACACCTTCAGGTATGGCTGTAAGGGTCAGCCTGGGATGGAGTATCTCTTCTCCATTCTGATTTACCCCCTCAGGGTAAATCCTTAAGGATTTACCTTACCTGAGGGATTTATCCCTCTCCTTTTCTGCTGGCTGGATGAGCCCCTCCAAGTTGGCTTGGCAGAGGGAGGAAGGCTAGCCTCTGCTTTGTCCGTTGGTACCTTCTACATCAGGCTGGAGAATCAGATCTACCTGGTGGCTCAGCCAGCAGATATGAGGGGATGCTTTTGAAGAGCTTGCCCTTCCCTGTTTCTTTCTTCATCCCTGTGAGGTCATAGGGGTGCATATTTAACCAGTGGCTTCTCTGCTGAGGGCTCATACATCTCTGCTTTGGCAGAGTTCCCCCTTGCTCTAGCATCATCTGAAAACATGTCAGTGTCTGGAAGGAGGACGGGCTCCTCTGCCTGGTGTGATGCTCATCTCTGCTCCCTGGCAGGATTCTGAAGAGCATGGTGGTGAGCTGGGTGAAGGAGATCACGCAGTATCACAACGTCTATGCAGATAACCAGGTGATTCATTTCTACCGCTGGCTCCGCTCTCCTTCCTCACTGCTCTACGACCCAGCATTGCACCGCACTCTACACAACATGATGAAGAAACTTTTCCTGCAGTAAGTGAGAATGGAGTTTGCAATGTCCTGAGGGTTGAGCAAAGACATAGGCATGAGGGGGGTGCTGCTGGCACCTACAGCCAGGGCTTCTGAGCACCTTTGGCACAGCCTCTGAGAGGTCTGGTGATCTGTGAAGGCGCAGTAGGTCCRACTCTAGGAGTACCAGCCATGCTGTGGTTGTAACTCCCTTAGGTGACATCTCCAACACATTCATCTTCTGGCTGTACTGGAATAGCGTATTCTCCATCAATCAATTGTGGTCCCGTGGTTTGCTGTTTCTTCTTTAATGGCAGCTGAAGAGCAGCAGTCCCTCCTGGCTGCTGAATGCAGCTCCTGTSTTCTTCTTGCAGGTTAGTGGCTGAGTTCAAGCGTCTTGGCTCTTCGGTGGTTTATGCCAACTTCAACCGGATTATCCTGTGCACCAAGAAGCGGCGAATTGAGGACGCTATCAGCTACATGGAGTACATCATCAACAGGTGGAATATGCATGGCTGCCTAGGGCTACACTCATCAAGCCAGGCCTGGAGATCATCTCTTGGATGCTGACCTAAAGCATGGCTCAAGGAAAGGAGGGAGGATGCTGATTTTTGCCCTCTGCTGGGCCYTGGCACTGCATTTCTCCCTAAGATAACTGAAGGGGCAGGGCCACTTGGTTCTCTCACCATCGTGTCTGGAGTAGGGGTCTGTCACATAGCTGTGCTGTATGGGGCAATATTACCTAAATACCTGTATGATTCAAACCAGAGGACACCTTCAGGAGATCTTAAGCAGTTGCATTCCACTCAGTCTCATACTCTGGCCAGCTCTCAGCATGCCAGCCATGATGTCCAGGCTCCTAAGACAGGCACCCTTGACACCAGCATAGGCATTAGAGGCTTGGGTGTGATTCCCCTGCAGCTGCTAGTGCTGCTGCTGACTGTCCTGCAGCATTTTGTGCCAAGGCCATCCTCTGAAGCATGGCTGAGTGTGAGAGCTGAACCCTTCTCTTCTTGCTAACATGCYCCTACCCCTCACATGGGGCAGGATTTCAGCTAGGGAGGACGCCAGCGTTGCATGTAACTGCAGTCTCTTCTCTCCAGCATCCACTCAAAGGAGATCTTTCACTCTCTGACTATTTCCTTCTCCCGCTGCTGGGAGTTCCTGCTCTGGATGGATCCAGCCAATTATGGAGGTATCAAGGGAAAAGTGTGTTCTAGCATCCACTATGGGGAGGTAAGAGATGGGAAGTACTCGGTCCTTCAGGAACAGGGGTGCTATGGGTTGGGAGTTGGGTTGAGTTTGGGCATGGGGAAATGCTGTGATGTCACCCATCAAAAGGAAAGCAACCTGGGCATGGCTTGTTTTGCTCCATTGCAGAAGGACACCAGCAAGAGCCAAGTATTGGATGATGACAGTGAAGAAGAAGAAGAGGAGAACAGGGAGGAAGAAGAGGAGAATGGAGAGGCAAATGTGGAGGACCTACTGGAGAATAACTGGAATATTGTGCAGTTCCTCCCCGAGGCTGCCTCCTGCCAGAACTACTTCCTCATGATCGTGTCGGGTGAGTGGGCTCTGCTGGCCGCCTGGCCCTGCTTTGGATGTTACCCCTGACTAGAGCTGTCCCCCACCCTGCTGCCCAAGCCATACACACAGCCGCCCCCCAGCTTCTTACCTCTCTCAGGATGCTGATCCAAAGAAGCCCTTCTAGTGCAAGACTGCACTGTGCTGGATGTGGTGCAGAAGGAGCCACCTCTATGTCTGAATATCGTTCAGCTCCAGTGTGAGCTGTCACAGAGAGGACACGTTCCTCATCAGTCATTGGTGCCACGGGAGAGTCGGCAGGCACAGAGGTGCTTATACCTCTCTTCCATCACGGGCTGTGTGTTGAGCTTTGCTTGTGTGTCTCTGCAGCCTACATCGTGGCCGTGTACCACAGCATGAAGGAGGAGCTGCGGCGCAACGCCCCCGGGAGCACCCCCGTCAAGAGGAGGACCACCAGCCAGGTCTCCCAGGAGCCCGTGGGGGAGACAGGGGCCATGCCTGGTGAGACCAAGAAGCACAAGAGCCATGGGACAGCTGTGACAACCCTAGTGCTGCTGGGCTCATCCTGCTGCAGGAGGAGAGCCGCCTGCCTTGCTGTCCCCTCGTGCCACCTTTTGGCTCAAGTGCTCTCTCTTCTCCTCCTTTCCAGGTATGATCACTTTCTCACAGGATTATGTGGCCAACGAGCTCACCCAGAGCTTCTTCACCATCACCCAGAAGATCCAGAAGAAGATGGCTGGTTCCCGTAATGCTACTGAGCCTTCAGACATGTTCCCAGTGCTGCCTGGCTCCTATTTGCCACTCAATAACCCAGCCCTAGAATTCATCAAATATGTCTGCAAGGTCAGTGGAATGGGTCACCATTTTTTTGGAGCTTTCTTCTACAGGTATCTAATTTGCCACAGATTTTCTCCTAGAATCTGCTGCAGTTCTACAACCAGTTTGTTTTGCCGCACCAGCACTCTCACATTGCAGCGTGAGTCCCTGTGAGAACCCTCTCYTCCCCTGTGCTTGTGGGCTCACCTGGCACTTTCTGCTGTAGGTGTTGTCCCTGGATGCCAATGTAACGAACCAGGTGAACAAGCTGCGCAGGGACCTGCTGCGCCTCATCGAGGTGGGCGAGTTCTCAGAAGAAGCCCAGTTCCGGGACCCTTGCCGCTCCTACGTGCTCCCTGAAGTCATCTGCAGGAACTGCAATTTTTGCAGGGACTTGGACCTGTGCAAGGACCCTGCCCTCTCCCAGGTACAACCTTCCTTTCCCAGAGCTTTGCCCTGGCTTCTTGTTTTGCATCCCCCTGGGGACATCAGGGGSCCTGGTATGGTCCTGCTCTAGGCCTGTCATGCTGTCGCATGTTGTCCATCTTCCTCCCTCTCAATCCTTTTTACTTTGCAGCTCTGCTTGGTTCTGTGAACAACCTCCCTGAAGGGTCAATTTCTGCTCACCCCCTTTCCTAGCTGCCTGTGATAGTTACCTGGCCCTTTGGCTGATTCATCCCCCTAGAAACTGGTTCCTCATTCCTGGCTCTTGAGGCTCTCGGGATGCTCCTGTTTGGTGGCCAGGGCTGAGCCTGGACCCTGCTCCCTCTTGGGAGGCATCACTTGTGCTCACCTCCCTCCTCCCTGCCCCTAGGACGGCTCAGTGCTGCCGGGCTGGGTGTGCTCCAACTGCCAGGCACAGTATGACTCKGATTCCATCGAAATGGCACTGGTGGAAGCACTACAGAAGAAGCTGATGGCCTTCATGCTGCAGGACCTGGTGAGCACCGGGCTGCTGTGCTGCAGGAGCCTGTCCTTGGTGCCACAGGCTGCTGGGGATAGAACAGCCCAAGGAACAGAGCAGCCCGGTCTTGATCAGCCCAGTCTTGATCAGCCCGACTGATGTGATGCAGGGGGGAGATGGGGAGGAGGGTTTGGCTCCATACTTCTGCTCAGCGTGTGGCTGCAGCCCTTTGCTGTCTSTGTGAGGCTGTGTCCCTGGGGGGCCCCAGAGAGCCCTGAGGAAGGGCTGAGCTCAGTCTCCTGTCCCAACTGAAACTCCTTGTGCCTCTAGGTGTGCAAGAAGTGTCACGGTGTGAAGGAAACGCACATGCCTGTGTACTGCAGCTGCGCTGGAGACTTTGCCCTCACCATTTCCTCCCAGGTATGTGTGCACTGTGCCACCAGGTCCGACCCCATGATGGACAATGGAAAACCCTGTGATTCCAGCTGGTCCTGACCTGGCCCTCTGCCTCCTGCCCCTTCAGCTCCCTTCTCCCCTGCCTGGCGTGGTAGGGTGTGTGGGGCAGCCCTCCCTCACTACTTCCATCTCCGTCAGATCTTCATGGAGCACATCAACGTCTTCAAGAACATCGCTCGGCACTACAGCATGGCCTATCTGCTGGAAACCATCGAGTGGCTGCTGCGTTCGAACCCCCAGCTCCAGCGCTAAGGCGAGAACGTGTCCTCTCGACCACCGTTATTGCAGCCTCAGCTCTGGGCATCCATCTGACCTCTCTTGAGAAGCGTTTGAGAACCAGGCTCTGCTGTGCTCTGAGAGGGACCTCAGTGAAGCCAGACACCCTTCTCCTACTGTGAGACTGTGTCCCCCCTGTACTGGGCACACCAAGAGGAACTGGGACCCCTAGGAGTTGCTGGAGCTGTTCTGCTCCCAGCCTCGTACTGTGCTGGGGGAGCTAGGAAGGCACCTAGGAGCTGGAACTGCTCTTTGGGGATCATTTGCCAGAGCCCTTGAGGAGCCCAGTTTGGACTGGGAATGTGGGCTGTCGGCAGCACCCTGAGTGCGTAGATCTCTATGTTTTTAGGCTAGATCCCTCTGGTTTTAACGTGGACTTTTATCTAATTAAATGCGTCACAGACAGCAGGTCTGGCTCTCTGGGCAGGGGGCTGTGGGCACCCTCTAAACCCRCCTGCTCTGAGCCCGAGACAGGGTCCCTGGGGGAGAAGGCCAGGCCAGGGCCGGGCAGGAATGGGAGCAAGGGAACTGCCCCCCTCTGAGCCCTGCTGAAGCTTTASCAGGGCAGCACTGGGCTTCCCCGGCAGCCCTGAGAAAGCAGAAGGATGAGAAAACTGATCCAGGTTTCTGGGTCTTTGGAAACACCAGCTGTTCAGCTACCTCTGGCACTTCCTTTTTAATCGATTCTYTCCCCAGACTTTATTGAAAATTATTTTTATTCACGTTCATATTATACCTGTTCTTGTTAGTACAGGACTATTTGGCAAGGAGCCTTGTCCTTCACTCTGCGCCCTCCACCCAGGCCTGCTSCAAGCAGGGTCAGGGCTCTGCACCGTGTTTGGGGCTTCAGTGCTGRACCTGGAGGACCCAAGCTGGCCTGGAGGGCAAGAGAAACCCAACCCTAACTCCAGTGCAGGGAGCAGGGATTGCACTAAGGGCGGCTGCAGGGCTGCGCTTTCTGGGAACGGGGTCTCCGGGGGCTGCAGCCTGTGCCAGGCAGCTCTTCTCCACCTCCAGCCTTGCTCTTGGGGCCCAGAGGGATGAGCGGCTGGAAGGGGAGCAGTTACTCATATTCAGCCTGCTGCATCCACCAAGCCCTGGCCCTTGTCTCTCCCTCTCCACATTGCCCTTGGTGGTGGAGGGGGCAGGTTCTGCTCTTGGCCTGAAGACAAGGTTGACTCCTCTTGCCCCCCGAAGCAAAGGGGAAAGACCCTGCCCAGCCCTGCCTAGGCAGCACTATGAGCTCCTGGTGCTCCAGATCTTGGTGCTGTAGCCAAGGTCTGTCTGCCATCCACCTGCCCAGCCTTCATCCCTCTCCTAGCCCTGACCCGCAGTGTCGCCCCCAGCCCCTGCTGCAGCAGCCAGCCCCAGGCAGCGATGCTGAGGAACTGTGGTTTATTGGGTGCCAATAAACCTGCTCCACCCTGGCACGGCCCCCGTCCTGCTGCCCCTGCTCCTGCCCCAGCGGGCACGGGGAGCAGACCCCACCGCCCGCTCAGCTTTTGCCACTCTCCAGCTGTTTGTTGGGGGCAGGAGAAGGGGACGTGGCTCTTGGGGGACAGCAGCAGCAGAGCTGGGTACCACCACGTCCCCCACAGCTCCAGGGCAGCAAAGCAGCTCGCTCAGCGYGGCACCCCTTCAGGCTGCTCCAGGTCCAAACTACAGTCCCAGCTGATGATGATACCGATGACACCACCCTGCGGGAGGGAGCCCAGGATGAGCCCCACACCACTGCCTGCCCACCCATCCCTGCACCCCACAACAAGTCCTGCACCCCTGCCTGCCTGTCCCTGCGCCCCACGACCCTGGCACCTCCTGCCCACCCATTCCTGCACCCCATGACAACCCTGGCACCCACTGCCCGCCTGTCCCTGAGCCCCATGGTGACCCTGGCACCCACTGCCCACCCGTCCCTGCGCCCCACAACAACCCCGGCACAGGCCTGCGCTCACTTGGAGAAGCCAAAGCGGGGGAAGCGGAGGCTGTTCCTGATGAGGATGGTGAAGTGTGGTGCCACCTTTGGCAGGGACTCGCTGCGGAGAGGGCCGAGCATGGGCACCCAGGGAGCAGCAGGGCCCGCTGGCACGGCCGCTGCAGGACCACCCCTGCTGGGGCTGCGTCCCGCTGCTGCAGGGTAAGAGCAGCCCCGAGGACCTCCCACCCTGAGCACCCCTTGATGTCCAGCAGGACACAATATTGCTGGGATTTAGGGCTTGCTCCGCCCCGCCCGAGGACAATCCTCCCTGTGCCCAGTCCCGTCCCTGGGGCCGGTACCTGACACCCCTTCCAGCACTGGGACGCAGCGCCCGGCGCTCCGTGCTGTGCCGAGCCAGGCAGGGCACTGCTCCCTGCCCGGTCCCGCTCACCATGCCCGTGCCATGGCCCCGGCAGGCAGTAGTGCTCGGAGCTGCACGCGGCACTGGGGACTGTCAGACTCTGCAGGGTCACAGGGGACATGGTCACACCAGGACATGCACCTGGTAGAAGCCCATGGCGGCTGCAGAGGGGACAGGGCACCTCGTGYGCTGCCCCATCCACCCCTGTACCCCCGTCCTCGCAGCCCAGGCCCACCTCACCTCGGGGCAAGAATCCATCGTCTGGGCAGGGCTGACCTCCCCCRGGGTGATGATGCTGAAGATGCTGCCAGCCTACGAAGCAACCAGAAGAGCTTATGGCCACAAGGGTGTTCACGTGGCGGTGCCAACCAACGCATGCACAGAGGACAAGCACCCACAGTGCACCCACATTCACTCCCGCGCTCGCACCACGACAYGTGCACGCTGTGACTGTGTCCAGGTGTGGAAAACACCCAGCGGCAGCACTTCACTGATGCTGCAGGCGACACCCCGGGGAGACCTGCTGTACCCTGCACCCAGCAGGCTCGAGGAAGCTCAGCCCTTGGGAAACAGCAAAACACCAATGACAACGGCAGTGACAGGAAGAACCTCCAGCACTGAGCCCTCACCCACGCCAGTGTGACTGCTGTCCCCAAAATCATCTGCTTCCTAGAAATTCCCGTCTGCCTCTGTGCAAGAGCAAGGAAGATTCTGCCTTCAAGGTCAGTCTTCCACAACTTGCTGTTTTTAGTATGGCCCTCASTATTGCCTGCTTGAGGGGACTCCTCTGGCTCAGCATCTCCATGACAGACATTCTGTGACCCTGGAAGTTTCCCAGACTCMCTCAGAGAGGCCATCAGCACCTCTCACATCCTGGCCAGGTGTKGCTAGATGGGGCTGCAAGCCTCATCTGGACCTTGCTCAGCCTCGTCTCTGCCCCATCACTGAGCCCAGCAACGGAGACTGGTTATTCCTCCCAGCTCTCACTTGGAGAGTCTGGCAAGTGTCTGTGTTTTAGAGTGCCCCCACTCTTTGGACAAAAGGGCTGCAGGGGGTGGACAGGGAGTCATGCCAGGGCACAGGACTGGCACACAACCCGCTGCGGCTGCCAGCAGCACCTTGTGCAGCCCAGGGAAGGAGGCGGCATCGCCGAGGCAGGGAGGGCACGGGGACAGCAGCAGGTCCAGGCTGCCAGCGGGCACCTGGGGCAAACAGCCCTGGCCATGCGGCTCCGCAGAGCCGTGCAGGGGATGGCAGCCCGGGAGCACCAGCCATCCTGGCCGAGGCTCCCACTCTGGCCACCTTGCCCAGGACGGGCAGGACCGGGGGCCACAGAAAGCCCAAGCAGGGCCCTGCAGCCCCGGTGCTGCTCCCCGTGCAGCTCTCCACATGGCCAGCGTCCAGCACCAGGGCTCATCTCGGGCAGCCTGCAGGGGCCCAGGCCACGTGGCAAAGACCCCTCGGGGGTCCCAGAGAGGTGCGAGCAGGAAGCCAGTCCCGCAGAGCAGAGCGCCAAGTGGCTGGGGCAACAGCACAGGGGCCGAGGAGACCCCCGGCAGGGCAGGGGCTCTGTGCACCCCCTCTGGGCACGACAGCTCCATCCGGAAC